CCAGTATCGGTTAAGTAATTTTTGGTTAAAAACCGTTCTGTTATTAAGAGCACGAAGTTGACATCCATTGGCTAATGTATCTGTTTTATTACTAAAATCACGCCATTTGTTGTCTGAAATTTTTTCGTAGTCAAAGACAATTTTTGTAGGAATATTCCTTTTATTACTTTTAGCAGCGAGGAAGTTATCAATTTTGAGAATGACAATGGAGTGATCTGATACGGAAGGCAGAACATCTTCAATATTACAATGAGCGAAGTTGGAAATCACGTCACCAGATGACCAAATGAAGTTGATTTGAGAATTCGATTTTGTGAAGTGATGTGTGGGATGGGCAGTGCGAAGCTGATCATATTTGACTGTAAATGTATTAAACAGGTGAGCATTACTCAGCATAGAGAAAAGATTTTTATCTTGTGAGTGGAGCTTTGGATTATCCATGTCAGCATTGAAGTCACCAAGGAGAACGATGAGGTAGTTGTTAGAAGTCGCTTCTCTAATATATTTTATAAGGTCAAGTTGAATGACATTCCTAAGAGCGAAATTGCCTGGTGGTAAATAACAGTTGATGATTCTAAGTTTCTGTTTGTTTGCAAATTGCAGGTCCACTATGATTAAACAATTGTGTTTGACTTCATGATGAAAGACATGATCAGCAAGAGCAGGTTTGAGTAAGATGCCGACACCAAATCCAGATTTCTGTGCATTCGATTAAGACGGAATACCAAAAAAACCTTGGAATTGGAAGTGGAAAGTGAGGTTAAACGGTCGAATATGTGATTGGGTGAAATTAGTTTCTTGTAGTCCTATTACATGTAAGTCTAATGAGGAGTAAAGATCAATGAAAAAGTTCTGTTTAGGAGTGTTAGTGAATGATTGGACATTATGGGTGGAGAATGATAAATGTGGAGTAGGGGTAGAAAATGTATCATTGGTGTTAGAATGTGCAGCTTGTGCAAAAGAGTCTGTAGAGACAGTAATCATTAAAAAAAAATTAAAATTGAGGAAGTCCTTTGAGGAAAGCATCAATATCTCTATCAAAACTATTCCCAAGTGGAAGAAATGTAGCAGTCTGTTCAGTTGGGAGTAACTTGGCCTTTAATAGGATCGATTGAAATGCGAAGCATGATTGTACTAGGGCGTTGATGATAGAAGTGACTGATTTCAAACTTTTTTGTTGCATTTCATTGACACTGCGTAATTTGTCAATGGTTTGGCATTGTTGGATAACAATGGAAGAGGATGTATCAATATGAGGGATTACATCATCAATCATTTCCTCAGAATTTAGATTGTGGGCTTCAGCCTCTCCAGGTGTCACTACTTTGATGTTTAAAGAACGTTCTACCGACTCAACCCTCTTGACGGTGAAAGCAAGTGTCTCCACCAGCAAACTCATTTGGTGTGACAAATTATTGAATTGTTGTTTAACAAATTCTTCGAAAGATCCATCCATTTTTTTGTGCATCGAGCCTCTAGCTTTAGTACCGTTTTGGATGTTACTTCCTGGAGTGGGGCAGCTCATCTGATCATGATAGTATTCCCTTTCAAGGTGAGGTGGAATATTATTAGACCATGATTCAGTAGGTGGGATTGTATTGTTGTTTTCACGTTGTAATTGATTTGGAGGAGAAACATTCTTTGTTGGTTTATTGATTGTGTTGTGATCATTACTATTTCCTTGTCCATCATCACCCTTCTCTTGTATCACATGAGCAAAAGTGATGTGTAGGTTAACTGCGCCTGCTAATTTTTTAGGAGGAGCTTTGTAATTCGAAAATTGCGCAGGTTGAAAACGTTGATATAAGTTTTGCATATTACGATCAGCGGGATTTCTTCTGTGTTTAGAACATTCACTAGCTTTGTGATAAGGTGAGGAACAAATCGCGCAAAGCTTAGCCTTGGAATCTGTTCATATCACGTGCTTCCCGTCAATAGAAAGATTTTCATTACTAATAGCAGCTTCCATATCATCGCTTGAAGCAAAATAAAAAAAAGCATGTTGTAAATTGCGG